AGGGGGGTAATGAAAAAGTAATAGGATTGATGTCTTGTGGATGCAGTGAGATTAAAGGATCTTGGGGGTTGAGTACTAGAGAGAGGGAACTGGACAGAAAAGAAGTGGAGTCAGACAGTAAGTATCTGAAACTGAGATTATGGAGCAGTGCAATTATGACAAGGTCCAGGCAGATCATGGAAGTGAGTTCCCAGGAGGAAGCAAGAAGGCAAAGACACTGCGGAGAAGAGGTGAAGGAATCGAGAGGCCAGGTTACAGGAACAGTCATCTACATAGATACTGACATCACCAAGAACGGCCAACAAGTGAAAAAGCAGGAAAAGAGGCAATAAATCAAGACTCAAATCTTCCTGGAATCAGGGCAGTGACCTGGAAGTCAGCAGATGGCTGCAACAAGGAGTAGCAGGTGGTACTGTTTGATGACATGAGCTCCAAAGCCGGCATTTCTGCGACAGGAGTGAAGAATAATGGTCCAGAAGCAACCACGAGGAGCAAGCAGACACAGGTTCCAGCTCCAGACTCAAGAGTCCGAGGCAGCGTGGGAGAGAAAACAGCCACCACGTGAGGCCGCACCGCAGATCAGGCAGCGTTTGCAGGGAGCAGGACCCAGGAAAAATAAGAAAGTGGGGTAACCCCTTCAGGTCCCCTCCCACTGTGGGAGCTTGTCTGTCCTCTCAATAAATCCTACTTTATCCAAAAAAAAAAAAAAGAATAAGAAAGTGAAGGAAATGTTCAGAGAAGATGGGGAGTATGTAGAGGATTTGCTGATGATGGAACATGAGTTCCAGACAGTATACTATTAGGGTTTGGAGAGTTGGGGAGGGGTGGGAAGCAGATCAGATTGATCGAACAGAGCCATGAGGGGAAGGATTTGGGTAGTGAAGGGGAAAGATATGATGGTATTTGTACTAGTGCATTTTGCATTTGCCAGACCTGAGGTTGGGTAACTTCTAAAGAGAAGAGGTTTATTTGGCTCATGGTTCTGCCGGCTGTACAAGGAGCATGGCACCAGCATCTGCTTCTGACAAGGCCTCAGGAAGCTCACAATCATAGACAGCAGAAGGCAGAAGAAGAGCAAGTATGTCACATGGCTAGAGGAGAAGCAAGAGAAAGAGGAGGAGGTGCCAGGCTCTTTTAAACATGCAAAGTAATAAAAGTGGGAACTCACTCATCATCTCAAGAACAGCACCAAGTCATTCATGAGGGATCTGCTCCATGACCCAAACACTTCCCGCTAGGCCCTACCTCCAACACTAGGGACCATCTGTCAACATGAGATTTGGAGGGGACAAATATCCAAACTGTATCAGTATTTATCACAGAGGTCTCCAAGCAGAATGCAGTGATGACGCTTTGAGTGTTTGGGGAGCAGAGATGGGTGAGACAACATCACTGTCTCTATCACTGCCCATTTTCCCTTCAACCCACTCCAATTCAGCTTGTGACACCATCACCTTACTGCAACTGCTCCCATTAACATTCACCTCCATGTTGCCAAAAGCAATGATTCCTCCTCTAGCTTCATGTTGTTTTACCTCCTAGCAACATCCAGATGATGACTCCTTCTTTCTGAATACACCCTTTCGCTTCTTTGTCCTTGTACTCTCTGGTTTTCCTCCTCCCTCGATGGTCACTCCTCACCTCCTTTGTGAGTTCTTCCTACACTGCCACACTCCTAAAGGCTGACATTCCCAAGGCCATGTGTCCTCCCTGTATCATCTCTTCATGGTCCTGTCCAAGTGCAGACAGTCTCCCATTCATCCCCACTAACACCTCAAGTAGGTGGCTGGTACTAGACCTTGACACCCTCCAAGCAGCAAAAGTTTAACTTAGTGAAAGACATGTTTCACACAGTTTCTGCCTTCAAGTAGTTCAGGGTCCTCTTAGGAAAATATGATAGAAGTGCATAAAAACATATTACTTGAAATACTAGTATAAGAGCTGCACAGTATTCAATGCCCCTCATTTTTCCTTTTTCCATTATGTGGGGTACAAGTGAGAACTAACTACATAGGTAGGCTACGTGTAAGTGAAGTTTGGGCTTCCAACTGGCCCTCCTTTCCCTGGTAGTAGACTCTGCCCTCCGACTGCTGATCTCTCCCTTGTGTTCATGTGATTATTATTCAGGGACCACTTCTGAGTGCAAGTATGCAATATTCAGTTCTTTGTTTCTGTGATAGTTCACTTAGTTTGGTGGTCTCTACCGCCTCCTAATTTGCTGCAAAGTCCATGATTTTGTTCCTCCTAATGGCTACATAATACTCCATCATGTATATGTACCACATTTCTTTATCCAGTCCACTTTCAATGGGCAGTAGGATGGCTTCCATGCTTTTGCTATTGTGAATAGGGTGGTGATAAATATCTATTTGCAGGTGTACTTTTGTTCCTCTGGGTATATTCCCAGGAGAAGTATTGCTGGATCATATGGAAGGTCAATTTCAAAGTTCTTTTAGGAATCATCACACTGCCTTCCATAGAGGTTGAACTAGCTTGCACTCCCACCAACAGTGTAGAAGCATTCCCTTTTCTCTGCACCTGCAATAGCATCTGTTGTGTTTTTTTGTTTTGTTTTGTCTTACTTATTAATGACAGCCATCCTTACCAGAATTAGATGGTATCTCATTGTAGTTTTGATTTGCATTTCTCTAAAGATTAGTGAGGCTGAGCATTTTTTTCACGTGTCTGTTGGCTGCTGGTATCTCTTCTTTTAAGAAGTATGTGTTCAAGCCGGGCTGCGTGGCTCAGCCTATAATCCCGTGCCTTTGGGAGGCTGAGGTGAGTGGATTGCCTGAGCCCGTGGGCTTGAGACCTGCCTGGGCAGGCAAGACCTCATCTCTACAATAAATCAAAAAATTAGCTGGGCGTGGTAGCGCGCGCCTGTAATTCCGGCTACTCGGAAGGCTGAGGCGGAAGGATCACTGGAGCCCAGCAGGTCGAGGCTGCGGTGGCCGGGAGCAGCCACTGCACTCCAGTCTGGGCGACAGAGTGAGACTCCAACTCAAAAAAAAAAAAAAAAGAAGTGTGTGTTCAAATCCCTTGCCCACATTTTAATGGGGTTGTTTGCTTTTTTCCTTTCACTTCGCTTGAGTTCCTTGTAGATCCTGGATGTTAGGCCTTTGCAAATATAATTTGCAAATATTTTGTCCCATTCTGTGGGTTGCCTCTTTACTCTCCTAATGGTTTCTTTTGCTGTGCAAAAGCTTTTCAGTTTAATGAGGTCCCACTTATCTATCTTAGCTTTTATGGCATTCACTTTTGGGAATTTGGTCAAGAATCCGTTGCCTGCTCTGAGATGCATAAAGATGTTTCCTATGTTTTCTATTAGGATTCCTATAGTTTGAGGTTTTATGTTTAGGTCTTTGATCTATTTTGAGTTGATTTTTGTATATGGGGAGGACAGGGGTCCAGTTTCATTCTTCTGCATGTGGTCAGCCAGTTGTCTCAGCACCATTTGCTCAATATGGTCTTCTTTCCCCAGTGATTGTTATTGGTGGCTTTGTGGAAGATGAGTTGGTTGAGAGACTGTTTTTGCTTCTGGAATCTCTGTCCAGGCTTGGAGGTAGCTAGGGCACAGCAATCTCTCTCCTCGTTTTTCAAAGTCATGATAAGGTGACATACTCAAGGTCACAACACCAATTAGGTTACTCTGGAAATTAGACTCAAGTCTCTCAACCCCCACCCCAGTGCTCTTGCCACGGCATCTCAATAGATTGTTGAGACAAAAAATACTGTGGAAATGAGAATGAAAGGCACTATGCCATCATGGCTTAAAGCATGGACTCTAGAATTAGGTTGCCAGGGTTCAAATCACTAAACAATACTGAATCACAATAACAATGCAATTTATTATTGAAGTGCCCTTGGGAAAGTCACTTAACTTCTCTGGGCCTTAATGGTGAGATGTGGATAATGATTGTACCTACCTCATGGTTATAGTGAGGGTTAACATGAGTTAATATATGTAATGTACAGAAGGTTGCCTGACACTGAAAGAGAGCTACATAAGGTTTTAGAGACTAATAGTACTAAGAAAGGAGCAACCAAGGGATTTGTTGAATGCTGGCTATGCCCAACTGCTCTCTGAATCCCAGAATTACACATTAGGGCTCAATGAATGAATGAACTAACAAGAACTAACATCCTTATAAAACAAAGATCAGCAAATATACCTGTACTTATACCACCCAGAACGTCCACTGAAACAAGGAGGTAAATCCCATCATGACCACTACCATCAAAAAACACCTATTTCTCGTCCCTTTGCACTTGATGGCATCAAACAAGTCAATCATCTAAGGCAAGCAGAGAAAAAGACATATAGACACAGGACATGCAAACATCTGGAGAACCTCTGTCTTTCAAAGAACAAAGCAAAGTCCTCATATGGAGTATAAACCTGGGGCAGGTGAGAATTAAATGAAATGCATCTTCCTTTAAGTTGAGCCTCTTGAGAATAAATGCAAGAATTAGATTAAAGTTGGCTTAAGACAGAACATAAACCCTTCTGCCCTATGCAAATATTGCAATGGCAAAGTCACAGGTGGCCATGGATGTCAGCCAGTCTCTTCCATCCCCTAAAGACTTGCTCTAAAATGCAATCCTTTATCCAAGGATGATACTAGAAAGAGCAGGGTTAGCCGCAGTTCCGGAAGGATGAGATATGTGGTTCACATCCTGATAAGGCTTTCCGTGGTTTTCAGGAAAGCTCAGAGTGTGAAACAGACCCCAGTTCTTTCTCCATGGGATCTTAGTAAAACGAGTGAGTCTTGGGGGTGTCTTGCTTCACCCCTATCTGACGGCTGTGGACCTCTGTGGGGTTCAGCAAAGCCTACAGCTGGGCAGCAAGACCAGGAGCAGATCACAAGGACCTCACTCAGAGGATCCAATTCAGCTCATTGCAGCAGAGCCAAATGTACCTCCCGCTCCTCCCTGGTGGTTTAACCCGGCCCCTCCGTTCCCGAAGACCCCCATCCGACCCCAGGCCCTTCTGTACTCACTCCCACTCCTTGCGCCGGGCTTGCGGGGTGCTCTGCATTTTGTGTGCCTCGTGGGCCTTGATGATGTCGCGCTGTTCGATGAGGCCCCCACGCCGCCGCTTCATGACCTCTGGGCTCACGGGGAGGAAGGGGCTTGAAGTCGCCTCTAGCGCCACGCCACCCTCCCAGCCAGGACCCTCGCCCTCCTGCACCGGGAAGAAGTTGTCGATGCCGGCAGCGGTGCGCGGGGAGGCCGGCAGCATGCCCACTTCATCCGAGGCGTCAGCCTCGAGCAGGGCGCACTGCTGGGGCCTCCATGCCTCCTCCTCCGGCAGGGCCAGCACATGGCGGCGGTGGTGGCCTGCGGGCGTGGGCTCAGGACTCCCTGCAGCCAGGTAGGGGGTGGGCTCTGGCAGCCTGCGGCCTGGGCTCAGTCCACGCATCTCGGGCACCATCACAGAACATTGCTCTGCCAGGGAGGGGGTGGTGGACAGAGACAAGGAGTGGGGAGGAAGGGAAAGGGGGAGGGAAGTCAAGGGCAGGGGAAACAGAGAAGAGAAAGAGATTAATGACATTATTTTCCAGGCCAAGGCTTCTGGCTTGCTACATCCCAGGCATGGCCCACATACTGGGACGCAGTAGAAGCTCAGTAAATGATGTGTAAATCAGGATCATCCACCCAGTGCACACCAGGTGCTGGGTATTCTGAGTTTAACAAAGCAGACGTGATTCTTGTCCTCATGGACTTCACAGTCTAGTGCAGAAGACAGAGGTTAAAGAAGCAATTCTATGCAACGTGATCAATGCTTCAGGGTGCTGCTGCAAGGAGAGGCTGGGCATCTCAGCGCCACCTGGGATACTGAGCTGGCTGTTCCCTTTCACTTTTGGTGAAAAAAAAATCCCTCTGCCCTGCTTCCCAGTGTCCCAGCTCCTGTGGGGAAGTCCCACCCACTACCTGCTGTCCTCCTCCCACACACTCTCCCCCAGGACCTAGCCACAAGTGAGCTCTTCTTGAGAACTGGGTCTTGTGTACAAGTTCCTTCCTCCTTTCCTAATAATCCCTGTGGATACAGGGCACATGTCGAATCAGGTGCCTCTGCTGCCTCCCGAGCCTCATTCTCCTTTTTCAGGCCAAGAAGGACACAGCCAGATTTGCCTCTGAAAGACATACTCATTCAATCAACATGGACTGAGGGCTTACCCTGTGCCAGGCACAAGATGTGCTGGACGTGGTACACAGTGTCCTCATGGGAGAGACAAGAAGATGGATTCTGACCACACATCATGATGTGAAATCATTGAGGTAGGCCTGATGGCTATAGGAGCTCATGGGGAGCACCTAGCCCAGCTGGGGGTGGTCAGGAGAACTTCGTGGTGAAATGACTCATGAGCTCTGTTTAACCAGAGCTTGTCAGGTGAGGAATGGGCAAAAGAAAGGGCGAGTATGTGAAGAAGGATTTGAGAGTTCCAATGCCAAGCCTGAGATCTGAGGGACAGTCCTTCTGACTTGAGAGGACCTGAACTTACCAGCTCTTCGAGATACCTGTTTATTGTCTCTCTCCCAGCCAAGAGCCCAACACCTGAATTCCCAGCCTCTCCCCCACCCACATCCCCAGCCACACCCCTAGTGACCACAAGTGGCACACCTATGCCCCCTTGGCTCTAAGAAGCACCATGTGCTCTGTGTGTTCGGAGGATCCCTGGCATCCAAATCATTCAGCCAGTGTTTTGTGAGCACCCACTACATGCTGAGAGCTGTGCTGGGAGGACACCCTCAGGAAACTGTCCTCCCAGAATGCTGCTCTCCAGACATCCCCCCCCCACCTCACCTCCCCTGGATTGGACTGTGGGTCAAATTGCAAGCCACGAAACAAAACATTAAAATGGTTAGGAATCTTAATGATCTGAACATATCATTTTCTAGATGAGGAAGATGGAGTCCAGAGAGGTAGAGAGCCCTGCCCTGGGTCAATAAAAATTAGATCTGTGAGAGAACTCAGATTTCAAGTCCTAGTTCATGGTATTTTTCACTGTATTGGTCACACGGCCTCTACTACAGGAAGCAGAATCCACAAATGCCCTTCCAGCCCCCTCCTCATTACACTAAGATAGCAAGTAGAAAAGGCGGGATGATAGGCTGATCTTAGCATATATGAGATAAAGCCTAACTCGAACATTAGAGACCCTGATGTCCCTGGAGAGTGAGCCTAAGGTATCTTCCTCCTTCGTCTCCTCCCCTATTTCTAACATGCTCCCCACACCAGCACCACCCCCTACAGCCTTAGCACTGTTGATCTGGAGGCTCCCAGGACATACCAGTCAGCCCTAAATATTTGGCCATGAAGGCTGGGTCAAGGGAGCAGGAGGAAGGAAGATAAAGGGTCTAGAACAAGCCTGATGGGGAGGAGAAATGAAGGAAAAAATACATCTCAAATCCTGCCAACAGTTGGGTGGGTCACTAGAAAGAATGATTCATGTTCCCCATGTTGTCATTCTGTCTCAACTCCCCTTGATGGATTTTAAATTTATCCTTCATTCCTACGGTGTTTAAATGTCTCTCCCTCACCACACACATGCACACACCCCTCCCCGGCTGCTCCCACTCCCTCCCCAGGCCTCAGCACCTCCGGCAACTCCAAGAATTCTCAGGCTCTGCTGTCTGCAGCCTCCTCTGCCCTGTGTCCCTTCGTGACAAAGGCCCCTGGGCCACCATTCCAGCTCTCGACAGGCCACCAGGACCTGTCTCCTCATCTCTGCTTCCTGGCTCACCCTGCCCTCTCTCTCCTTACTGGATTGTCTCTTCTCAGACACTGTGCCAATTTGAATCACGTTTTTGCCAGATTTACAGCAGAGGCAATAATATGCACCACAGAGCTCCAGCTTACACGGAATCAATTTTACGAATATCAAAACATGAAATTATCTCATCTTTCCTTTAAGAATTCCTGTTAAACAACCCTTCTATTATTGATATAAATGTTCATCAGGATAATCTGTCACCCCCGCTGCCTGCCAAGCCGGCCAGTACTCAGGTCTGACTAGCATCAAGCTGACAGACTATCTTCCATCTCAAGCATCTTCAATCTGTACTTAGCCTTCCGCCCCTCAACCCCCTTAGTTCTGGCACTCTTTAAGTTCCTTGAGATCAAGGACTTTGTCTTGTTTATCTTTTTACATCCAGTGTCTACTACTGACTTCAGCACATAGTAAGTGGGTGCTTATGGTGGTCATTAGAGCTGTTTGCCAAATATTCTGGTTATGACTCTCCTAGGCACATAGTAGGATGCACTTCCTGGCCCCCTGTGGTTGGGTGGGGCCATGTGACCATACTGGCCAGTGAGTTGTGAGTGGAAGTGATATGTGTCAACTTAAGACATTTAAATGTCAGCGCAAGACCCTTTAGAGCAAGGGTCTGGCAAACTCTTTTGGTAAAGTGCCAGATAATAAATAATTTAAGCTTTGCAGGCCATATAATCTCTGTTGCAACCACTCAAATTCTGCTGTTGTAGCATGAAAGCAGCCAGGCAATGTGTAAATGAATGGGCGTAGCTGTGTTCCAATAAAACTTTATTTATAACATTTTGTAAATTTTGGCTTTTCAACTGCAGCTCTTGGACTCCAATATTGTTACTCGGTCTGTGCACAAAAGGCAGGTTTACAGAGCATCAGGCAAAAATAGGGAATGAAGATCCACAAAGCAGAATGAAGGGTGGACACCCCAGATGAGATGCTTCCTGAGAGCAAAGTGCAGTCCTGTGGCCCCCATTACCGAACAGAAGGAAAACAGGTTCTGCTGCTCTGAGATACTGGCCCAAGAACACACTCATGAAAACTCTGAGGGTACCTGTCTCACACCTCTAAACTTTGCTTTCTACCCACCTCTCTTCTTATTCTTTATTATTCTGTTTAGTTAATGGACAGGATGCATGATTTTAAATTATGGGAATCCTGGGAAGAAGAAGGCTTAGTGCAACCCAAGAGTCCCAGAAAAAATCTTCCTTTGCTTGTCAGGGCACAGTGAGTTGGCAGAGTAAAGGCTTACTTCCTCCACCCCTACCCAAGCACCCTGCACTGCCAAAGATACGAGCCCCTAATTACACTCCTGCCTGCCTCTGAAATTGTCTCCTGCCACATCCTTCCAGAGTCAAAGTCAAGATCTTCATCCACAAAGAAATATTATGTCATTTCCCTTTCTATCCTATCAAGAGTTTTTTGTTTCATTTTGGTTTTGAGTTGGAGTCTCCATTGCCCAGGCTGGAGTACAGTGGCACGCTCACGGCCACCCCAGCCTCGACCTGCTGGGCTCTGGTGATCCTTCTGCCTCAGCCTTCCAAGTAGCCGAACTACAGGCACACGCTACCACGCCTGGCTAATTTTTTTAAATTTTATTGTAGAGACGAAGTCTCACCACGTTGCCCAGGCTGGTCTCAAACCCACGGGTTTAGGCAATCCTCTTACCTTGGCCTCCCAAAGTGCTAGGATGACAGGCTTGAGCCCCCACTCCCCTATCAAGAGTTTTAATTTTTTGTTTATATATTTTGACTGCTTTAGAAATCGTGGCCCACATGTCCCTTCGGCCTATCTGTGCCTCTTGGTTCTTGCAAGTGAGTTTGCCCCATTGAGGACATTCATCTTCCTCTCTTGGGGTTCATGCGCATCCCACTCCCACCCCTCTACCACTCACTTTCTGTTTCAACCGGGAGCATGTGCTTCCTTCAATCATTTGTTAGAAATGGGTACACTGGAAAGTCCATGAAGCTTATGCTCTTGTGAATTTACTGTCTTCAGACCCTGTAAGTTTTGAATTCCGCATGGAAGAAAACGTCTCCATTGCATACACCCAAGTGACAATGGGCTGGGAGACAGTGGACAGAAATGGGACCGACGGGCACTAAAAAGGTGAGTGATGGGAACATGAGTGTCCCCAAGCTGGCCCTGAGCTATCCTAGCTCTGTTTCAGCTGTCTGCCCTAGGCAGGAAGAGAGCAAGAAGTCCCAATTCCCAACTGTCAGAAATTAGAAATTATAAGAGGAAAACAAACTTTAAGGCATGATACTCTACAACGTAGATACCATGCTGAGTTGCTTTCTAAAATGATACTCTTGAGAAAATAATTCAAGATATAGTTCATGAGTTTCCTGCCCAGAAAATGGTGAGGATGATCCTACTCATCATCCTCACCCACCCGCTCAGAGAGGAAATATTCCTTGTGTAGAAATAAGTATCCATCTAAGGATTTTTCTTATCTGAGTCAGCCTGCTACCTGACCACAAAAGGAGGAATAAAGCTGGGCACTGTTTTCACTTGTCTTGACTTTCTAAGGTTGTGGTTCTCAATCTCTGTACGTCAGAAGCATCTCTCTCCAGAGAGTCTCATGCTATAGATCTTGAATGGCTCAGGAATCTGTATCTTTAATGAACACTTTTTTCCCCTAGGAGTATATCGTAAAACCCTATCCTAAAAGTAACATGTCATCATAAGACATTGTATGGAATTGATAAAAGGGTGTTGGCCTTCATGAATTAGGTTGCTGAAAGCCTCTAGGACAGTGTCTCTCTCAACTATTTTCAGTCTATATCATGAAATGAACATACCAAAACACACTCAGTAGGAGTTCCCTGACCAACCCCGCCACTCCCTGCAAAGTCCCATCCTCCCTTGG